ATGTAGATAGAGCGGATAACTTACGACAACCGTCACAATCCCTCCTCCCACCACAGCCACACTTCCCATTCTTTGAATAAACGGAAGCCACCGATTCCGAAAGACAACAACCATGAGACAGGACACGTTGATCAGAACGAATGCGAGGTAGACATGCCAAGATTGGCGCTTGTATGTGTCTTGGTGAAAGAGGGCGTACATGTCTACAAAGACATTTGCGGGAATAAAGACAATGGAGGCGAGGGCGAATATCCAGCCATAAAAGTTGACGAAACTATGGAGACATAACTACTCAGACGCATGGAAAAAACGGAGAAAGAAAAGTCATACCCAGTGAAAAACCCGACTATTCGTCCAAATCTACCAGCAGTCACTGATGCCCAATGGTATACTAGTAAGGGTAAGCTAAATGAAAAATGAATGTACGAGATGCGGTAGATCATACCTCCCCCAGAACTGGGTATTGAACTCGCGAGTTCCGCGATACTCGCAGCTATGAAGCTGTAGTAGAAGCATGCCACCAAGAGCTCCCATATAATTCCTGGTGGGCCGCCATTGGATAATCCGATGACGATAGATCCACCCAAGGCTACCCAAGCGCAATCTAATAACGGAACTTCAGAATCGGACACGAGTTCTCACAATTATTCATAGAGATACATACCGATAGTCACAGACGTCGAGCAGATACTTAGCAAACTGTATTGTCGTTGTAACTGGTCAATATGACCGCTTGCATTGAGCCTCGTAAGGGATGGTTCGTCCTGGGCCGTACCGACGATTTCGAGTTGAGATCCATTTTTGTCTGAAATTTCAAAGGCGATAGTTTGCTTTTCGGAACGTTCCGAGAGTATTGGGGTTCGAGATGCGAGAACATTCTCCGAGGAGATTGATCGTTGATGTTCTTGCGACATATGAAAGGCAAACTCTTGGTCGTTTTGTTTGAAAGAAGTGAGAAGATGAAGAACGAGTTCAAAGGAAGTCCAAATATGAATTCACATCGAGGCTCTTGCATAAGGTCAGCTCCAAAATGTCAGGGGTATGTCCCTTCCAGTCTTCGATGCCACAAGCCAGAAAGCATGTAGATGATATACGTCAGGATACCGGATTCCATCACCTGTTCCATGTGACGAATTAAAATGTTAAAGAACGCAACTTGGAGAGAAAAGCCAAGTTGGGCAGATAAGGTGTGTAAATGTCAGAGAGTGGAAAATCTGTACACACGCAGAATGTTTCGAACGCGGAATGATGTGAACAATTCGGGATCACTATATACAATCCCAATGATGAATGAGAAGAAACGTATAACTGTTCGCAATCAACATAACGGCGTTAGTATGGGATGGGTGTGCAAAAGGAGCCTCATACGTCATATTCAATTCTCTGCCTCTTCCAAGTTGAACCCAACAACTTGAACTCAATAGTATTCTCCCGCTCCGGCATATGTGCTTGAACTTGGCATTGAATCTCCTTGACCTGACATCTCTTGTTCCTTCTGCATCCGAGCATCTGAGTCTGGTCCGAACGCAGGTTTTTGGGGAACATAACGGGTTACGAAAACTGCTGAAACGCCCGTAGGAATGCGGGACTGTAATTCGGCTTGCGATGGGATAGGCTGGAAGTGTATCTGGAAGATGGTTATGAGTGAGAACATCATGATGAAGCAGAAGTATGATTCAAACCGTGTCATTGGTTTTCTTGTAGTGCTTTAACCAAATATCGATTGTCTCCAACTCTCTGGCGACTTTTTCTTTCCTTAAATTCCGATCTTTCCTCTCCTTATCTCCTTTGGCCAACCCAGCTCCTTTACCGCCGTCTTTAATTTCCTGCAATTCTTTTTTTGCCCAAATGAGAAACCCAACGGCATCACCACCTCTCTTTTGTCCACCATTTTCTCCAGCGTCAATGCCAAGCCACTTCTTCGCGAGACCAGAATTCAATGCCGTTTCGTCTGCAAGATAGTGCCTCAACTCTGGGGAGACGTCTTCTGAAGACTTTGATGAAGCCGATGGTGTTTTGGCTAGAGTTCGAGCCGTAGAATATAACGAGACACATTCCAAGTGCAATTTGGCTATGAGTCCTGGAGCAGGATGCGATTTTGGAAGTGGAGGACCAGGCGCGATGTTAGAGTCATAGAACGACTTCGAAAGCAATTTTCGAATTGCTATAGTCTGTGCTTCCGCTAGGGACATTCTGGAGAAGTCGTGTCATTGGATGTGATCGAGATGAAGTACTGAATTACCTGGAAAGTGCTGTGCTGACTTCCGGCAAGAGGTCTGGGGGTAATTTGAACTTGGAAGTGGAAGCTGATGTCTGCAATTGAGGTAGAATCGTTTCGCTGAGATAAGTAAAGATCCCGGATGCTTGACACAGGTGGCTGGTCGCATGTTTGAGTTGTTCTTCTTTGGCTTCCCTTTCTACTTGGGATATTGCTCGATCGTATTCGAATGGTCCCAAGTTTCCTACGATGGTCCGCGCAAGGTTCGCATGCGCGAAAGCACAAGTGAGCAGGGAGCAAGCATTGTCTGCATTGAGAGATTGCAATGATATTTTGGGAGAAATATTCAAGGACGAAGAGGAAAGGGTCGTCCTCCAACTGAAAACTGTTCAATTGAGGTAAACACGGTTGGTGATGGTGTGCCGACGAACCAGGTTCAGCTTTAAGCACGAGCTCTTTATGGGCGACACAGTCCATGACGCTTTGAAGATGAGGAAGATAATCATCTATAACCTACGCTGATATTAGCTTGCATTGAATATGATAGGACTGGTCCCACCTTGATGATCGTCACGTAGTCTTTCTCGCCATCTATTCGTTTAGTTTCTTTCAAAATCCCTCTGAGTCGAGATCTTAGCTGAGTAGCTTCTGAGAGACGTCTTGTATAGAGAGAGCTAGGATCATTGATGAAATCTGAGAATGAGATCGCGCCGGTGGTCGAGAGGTCGTACAAGAACGTAGCCATGGTTGAAGCGCTCGAAGGTGCAAGTAAGCGCCGAAGAATAGGAGATGTCATTAGGGTTACCTCTAGGGTTAGATTCGTTCGAATCCCAAAGTCAACTTCCATCCCTTGAGACTTTTCCTGCTCGTAATCGATCCTAGCTGCTCAACTCTGCACGCTGCTCCTACGCTTGTAATGGCAAATCCCAGCTTTACACTTCCTGAAATTCAGCAACTTCAATCCGAGGGATTGGTCTTGCGGTATCCGGATGTTTTGATGAACGCTCAATTGACGTTGGACGGCGCGGTCAGCTTGCTACTGAAAGCGGCGCAACAGGCGCTACTGGTGCCATTTATATGGTCCTGGATCGATCGCACCCAAGGTGAGTTTACATCTGCTATTTGCAGACTCGACCTCGAACAACAAGTTTACTCATAGACGGACAAACATTCATCATCTTTCTTCCACCACACACTCCCTTTCCACTGGATGGCATTCGCTGGTCTGAGGCCGAACACAAGTTTAGCTTCCATCAGGGGACACCGAAGGAATTAGAAGTATACGAAATCAAGCATGGTTTTATTCCTCGCTCTGGAGAGACGATGGCCACGAGAGTCAGAAGGAGATATCGATTAGTCCATCCTGGTGGTCTGGGAGCAATGCCTCAATTGTGGGTTGTACACTATACTCGAGGCCCGCTTGGTCATCCCGTAGTGCCAGGAATGGGCAATCAGCCAGTAAGGATATATCCACTCAGGCAGATAACCGAACCGCCAATGTACGTCGCAGGGGACAAGCTCGGCCAGAAGGCATTTCCAGGAGGACAAGATATGGGCGGAGGGGGTATGCCCAGTGGAGGTGTTGGAATAGGAGCTGGAATGCCAGGAGGAATGTCAGGAGGAATGCCAGGAGGAATGGCTGGGATGCAATCTGGGATTGGCGGCGGAAACGGAGGTCCAATGGTTGGAGGCGGAGGTATGCCTGGCGCGATGGGTGCTATAGCCGGAAATATGAGTATGCCCGGCGGAGCAGGTCCTTTCAATCAGCAACAAGCACAAGCAATGCTTGCACAACAAAATTCTAATATGGAGATGCTTGAAGCTCGAAGGACTCATTCTCTGGGAGGTCGTGGTGGTCCTCTTCCACCTCATGGTGTTCAGGGTACTCCTGGTATGCACGGTCCACCCGGATCTGGTCCCCATGGACGAGGAATGCCTCCTTCAGCCGCAGCTGGTGTTCCGCCTGGGAGGAGACCAGCCGGTGCACCAGGTGGTCTGAGCCATCTGGACGATGATGATTCAGGGGATGAAGTTGACACCATCTCGACCCGTACGCTCGCTCTGACGAGGTACAAGCAAAACCATGACTGGATGAATGAAGTCTTCGTGAAGGCTTCGTTCGGTATGTTTCGCTGCCTTGGAGCTCATTTCAATACTGATGCTGTCATCCTTGACTCAGGCGTCCAGCCAAATTCCAACTCAACGTCGCCTTATGGAATATTCAATCAAAACGAGTTGGATGCAAAAATAGTATGTGTCCTAGTTATACCGTTCCCTCATTCAAACAAATTTGCGTTCTGTGTCAATCGATTCGTTTCGCCAAGTGATTTGAAATATCTAACAATGTCTTCGCCATATTTGACTTTAGGCCAAACTATCTTCAGAAATTGAAGCGCTTCAAGCTCGCACAGAGGAGTTAAAACGACAGAAAGGAAGCCAGACTAACTCAAACGAGCAAATCAAGGACCACACTATCCCTTTGTCCTCTCGATCCCCCGAAGAACAACTACTGCCGCCTGAATCTCAAACTATGCTTATGGACACGACGGATGCTGTGACAGCCGTGGACTCATCGAAGTCAATGGACTTCACAGCAGAACCGACAGCAGCTAACAGTAGTATATCTGCACAGCCTGCTTTTGTAGAAGGGATTGGTGAAGAAGGTGTCCCTGCTTGGTAGGGTTGCTTTAGTTTGGACATTGTAGTATGTAGATTATGTAGAATAGTGTACCTCTACTGAAACCTGTCGCATATCATTTTGATTTGTACTCACTTCAACATGTCCCTGGTAGTATATCGGTTAGTACACGCGCCTGTCATGTTGTAGTAGTGGCTCAGATAATCGCGCGAAAGCTGGGTTCGACTCCCAGCCAGGGAGCTTTTGTGCAACAAGTGTATTCTTTTTACTGCTTTCTGACAGGCCACTCGCATCAAGCTGTTTCAACGAAGCTTCGGTATGTTTAATGTTATATATGTATACACGAACAGATCTTCAACCCATCGGGGTGGGCTAAGACCCTTCCCTCTAAGTTTCATGAGTAATTTTGCTTTAGTTGCTTTAGACTAACTGTCATATCCGTCCCTCATTGTCCCTCAACTTCCTCACTCGAGTGACTACACTCTCATTCTCAGTGATGCCGGGAGTACAAAGTACCAGACAGCCATCCCAGGATAAACACTGGGTCATTTGAAGATTTTGAGCTTAATATCTCATCGAACAGTGACATTGTTTTTGTTTTTGATACAACCTGGATAGTTTGGAGACACCCTTCTCCCTTTCCTTGGCGATAAGCATGGACTCGTGTTTAGCTTTTTTTGGTTGTTTTGGGATACGGTGCAGTGTAAGCATACCCGTGCAATTGAAGGGAATTATTGAGGACACGCTCCATTGCGTATAGCTGGATCAAATGATTGGTGAAGCTGGAAGTTGATACTAGTATCATGAACATCATAGCTGTATGGCGATTGGGAGTCGGGATTGTGTTTCCGCGAAGGCGAATTTGCCTTCCAAGACGCACTGAAGTAGATGAAAACTCCATGTCAATCATGGACAGCACCAGGCACGTTATTAGTGAAAGTAGTCCATTGACATCTGGGTTCTTAGTAGCTATCCGAGCTGGGCAACCATAACGAATCTTCCCCACCGGTATTTGTGAAAGATGAGCAGATTATCTGGAGAATCTACTTGATGATGCTAGCCAATCAAGTGCACTCTCCTCCTTCCAATACTCGCAATTGTTCTGTCACTCGAGGAGATAAGCTTAGAGCTCACTCAGGGCGCAGAGCATGATGTAAGGAATTCCATGTGCAACCTACCTCAGGCAATGGATTTTGCTCCAAGAAGATGAGGCTGGGCCTGCCGGGAGAGCTTTGGCTTAGGGCATGCATCAGGGTATTGAACCCAGTAAACCGAGGCTTCACCTTTGGTTGGCGTGGTGCAACAGGAGAGGCTGCCACAACATCAAGCCCCGTGTGCCAAATGGGGTTGGTGAAGAGAAGGAGGCAAGAAACAAGATGTTTTTGATTTTTAAGGGATTCTTAAATGCCATAAACATCGTTGTAGATGGTCAATGCGCTGAAGATACTCGGAGTTGTCCAAAGTGTGAGAAGAGACGTTGAATAGAATCGATAACGCACCAGGCGGCTCAAAGACGCATGAGTAGTGCTTTCGTAGACTTATGCCACATGCGTCCTGACTCCTGTGAGGCTTTTATCGGGCCCGAGCGCCTTGATTGAAGCGCTCGGATAAACTATGTTTTGATGATTTTGCAGGGAACCACCTGCCCTCCCCTACCAGAGCCATCATCCATTGCAGAAGCGCAGTGATTTTACAAAACATCGTTTCAACGCACACATACGGCGAAGGAACATGTGTTTTGGGGCTACCTGCAAGGTCTAGATGAAGAAACAGTCGAAGCAAAACACATAGCCCTCATGCAGACGGCAGAGAGTCCTACTGATTTGGTGTCCATTCAATGTAGTAATTTCAAGGAGTAGCGCTGACAGACCTTAAAGTTTGGATGTGACTGTCATGGAGCACTATAGTAGGGTATTTTACGTTGATAAGAATAGAGAGTAGATGATAGGGCACCAGTGTAAAGACCGATGGTGCCAGAGAAGTTCAACGATATGATGCTGTCAATTCAAGCTTGTGTCGCGGGAGTTACACTGGGTAGAGATTCGTAAGTACGAACGGTTACGATAGTCAAGTCGAGAGGGGAAAAGACGCGCACTGTGGAGCTCGATATTTCGACCGGTATAAGGAATGACCGAGGCTGAACTCAAAGTTGGCAGAATTTTCAGTGTCATATTTACGAGGTCTTCCTGGAAAGCAACCCGACTTGCATCGGCCAGCTTCGATGTAGTTATCAACATCGTACACTCGTCGCCGTTGACATAACAATCTGCAGCGAAGTTTGCCATTAGGGAGCAGGATGAATCCGATAGTATATCAGAAGGCAATTCTGTGCAAATTTCGTGACTTTACTCCGAGGTATTCTTCAATATTCATGCTTACTCGACTTTAATTATTCTCTTTGTCCGAACTATCTGTCCCAGGACCCAATAGTGGGCGAACGGACCCTTGGTGGGTCAGAAATGCAGCGGGTACCAAGCACTACCGAGTGGGACCATGGTTGTTATTTAAACCCCACAGTGCTGACTGGCCTGAGTGCTCTTGAATCTTTGATGTTCTATACTAGAAGCAGCGTGAAGACCGTAGAACGTGAGTGAAAGATAAATCAGGAAGGTTTTAATGAAACTCGCCTCCAAGATATTAGCAGTGGTGCTTTCAGCATGATAATGTAGACATATTCAGCGAAATGGACATCAGAAGCGCATCAACCGAATTTCAAGAACACGACGGTGAAGGCTAAAAGTAGACTAATCGCATTGAGATTAGATAAGCCATTCTTCGAACACATACCCGCTTAAGCTCGGGCCAATCCTTGCACTCGAAATTCGAATGTCCGATTCTCGTATGGCACGGGGCGTGGGGTCAGTACTATTTAAGAGATGGTTGTGATAGACTTAACCCACTGACCTCTTTCTCTAGACCATTTGTACCACAATGTCTTCCTCGTACTTTGAGTCTTCCCATCTCCTCTGGCAGAATCCTCAACCGCAGCACGCCAATGTTGAAATCTTTCGGCGTATGGTGAATCGTAAACGCGGATTGAATCTCAGTATGTCAAACACTTGAGTGCCACATATACATTACATATGATTGTTTTGACGATCTTCACTCGTAGAGGATTATCATGATTTTCACAAATACTCTATCGAGAACTACTCCTTCTGGGAAGATGCGTGGCAGCATCTACGAATCATATATTCTGTCCCACCTCAAAAAGTATCCATTGACTCACATGAGCTGAAGATATTGTTCACGATAAAGGCAGGTCATCACGGAAGGAACTATACCGAACGTGCCAATCTGGTTTCCCGGCGCACGCCTCAATTATGCAGAAAACCTGCTGTGGAGGAATGATGACAGTATCGCTTGTACTGCGGGTGGAGAACTAGGCAGAGTCACAGATATCAGCTTCCGGGAATTGAGGCTGAAGGTCAGGGATATGGCCTCAGCTATGCGAGCAAATGGCCTGCAGATTGGGGATCGTGTTGCGGGTACATATCCTACTTTCTCATTGAGAATGGATGGGTTCTGATGTCTCCTCTCATCCCCTTTCAGCGGTTGTGACTAACTCCATAGAATCTGTCGTTCTTGCTCTTGCAACCGCGAGTATAGGAGCTATCTATTCTAGCACGGCAACTGACATGGGTACCGAAGTATGTCTTCCCGAATGTTCGGCATCGTATTGGCATCTGCGTTGATTCAACTCTCGTTATCTCATCAGGGAATCCTCGATCGATACCGTCAAATCCAGCCCAAGTTTCTGTTTTTCGAAACAGAAATCATGTACGCTGGCAAAATTGTGGATTTAAGAGATAAAGTTTCTGCCGTGATCAATGGACTGCATGACCATGGATTGAAATGTGCCGTTTTGCTACCTAGTACCATTACCGGGAAAGAATATGATAACGTCCCGAACACGTTGAGTATATTGTACTCCTGGTGATCTTCTTGATCCTGACTCTGCCTTTAGTACCGCTCTAGGGATATTCCTTGCAACCGGGACAGGAAGCAACTCAGAGCTCGTATTCGAGCAGTTACCGTTTAATCACCCGTTATATATCCTCTACAGCTCTGGCACCTCTGGGCCTCCAAAATGCATAGTACATTCCGCTGGGGTACGGTCATTCTTGAACCTCATTGGTGTTGTCATGATCTGATTGTTTAAATTGTGCTCAGGGGGTCTTGATGCAAACTCTCAAAGATCAGAGGATGTTCTTCGACATGAAAGAAGGTGACACACTGTTCCAGTTCACTACAGTAAGTTGAATATTTGTATCTTCGTTCACTCGGGTCTGATTTCATAAAATTTATAGACGGGATGGATGATGTGGAACTTCATGGTGTCGTGTTTGGCATCAGGATGTCGAATGATCTTATACGACGGTTCTCCGTTCCATCCTACGCTTGAGGCATACCTCAAATTCATCAGCGATGTTGGGTAACCATTCCGTTCTCTTTGGCTATCGTACGTATACTGAGATTCTTTTGATTTGATAGTGTCACCCACTGGGGCACTAGTCCTCGCTTCCTCGCGGAGGTCAAAGGACGCAAACTGTCACCATGTCAGTAAGCTTACGATAACAAGTCCCAAAATACATCTCACCGTGCGGATTGATCGTACATACAGTGAAAATTGCCTCTTTCCAAGGATTACGAGCACTGGCTGTAACAGGGGCAGTGGTAACAGCACCTCTGTTCGATTGGGCGCACAAAGAATTCGATGGAAAACTCTACTTCGTATCCACCTCTGGAGGTACAGATGTTTGCAGCGCTTGTGAGTTTTTCAGCTGACGTGCTTCCACTAACAATGCATTCACAATCAACATTGTAATCATTGACAGTCGTGGCTGGTGTCCCTAGTCTTCCCGTATATGCTGGAGGTATGTCAAACCGATTTAATGCTCCCTTCACATGACTCAGATAATCAAACTCAGAAATCCAGGCAAAAACTTTGGGCATGGCAGTGGAAGTATTCGATGAGAACGGAAAGAACATTGAACACACAGGGCAAGCTGGTGAACTGGTGTGCACCAAACCTCACCCATCACTTCCTATTATGCTCTGGGGAGACACGCCCGACGGGAAGAAGCTTCGTGACACGTACTTCAACTATTATCCAGGTGCGTTTCCGCGTACAGATATCCTCTATAATTCTCTGACATTGCCACGGAATTTCTCGCAGGGATTTGGAGGCAAGGCGATTTCATGGCAGTGAACCCCAAAACAAAAGGAATCGTCATCCT